TACAGTGAGGGAAAAAAGTATTTGTTCCCATGCTGATTTTGTAAGTTTGCCCACTGACAAAGAAATGATCAGTCTATAATTGTAATGGTAGGGTTATTTGAACAGTGAGAGACAGAATAACAACAACAAAAAATCCAGAAAAACGCATGTCAAAAATGTTATGAATTGATTTTCATTTTAATGAGGGAAATAAGTATTCGACCCCCTCTCAATCAGAAAGATTTCTGGCTCCCAGGTGTCTTTTATACAGGTAACGAGCTGAGATTAGGAGCACACTCTTAAAGGGAGTGCTCGTAATCTCAGTTTGTTACCTGCATAAAAGACACCTGTCCACAGAAGCAATCAATCAATCAGATTCAAAACTCTCCACCATGGCCAAGAACAAAGAGCTCTCCAAGGATGTCAGGGACAAGATTGTAGACCTACACAAGGCTGGAATGGGCTACAAGACCATCGCCAAGCAGCTTGGTGAGAAGGTGACAACAGTTGGTGCGATTATTCGCAAATGGAAGAAACACAAAAGAACTGTCAATCTCCCTCGGCCTGGGGCTCCATGCAAGATCTCACCTCGTGGAGTTGCAATGATCATGAGAACGGTGAGGAATCAACCCAGAACTACACGGGATGATCTTGTCAATGATCTCAAGGCAGCTGGGACCATAGTCACCAAGAAAACAATTGGTAACATACTACGCCGTGAAGGACTGAAATCCTGCAGCGCCCGCAAGGTCCCCCTGCTCAAGAAAGCACATATACAGGCCCGTCTGAAGTTTGCCAATGAACATCTGAATGATTCAGAGGAGAACTGGGTGAAAGTGTTGTGGTCAGATGAGACCAAAATCGAGCAATTTGGCATCAACTCAACTCGCCGTGTTTGGAGGAGGAGGAATGCTGCCTATGACCCCAAGAACACCATCCCCACCGTCAAACATGGAGGTGGAAACATTATGCTTTGGGGGTGTTTTTCTGCTAAGGGGACAGGACAACTTCACAGCATCAAAGGGACGATGGACGGGGCCATGTACCATCACATTTTGGGTGAGAACCTCCTTCCCTCAGCCAGGGCATTGAAAATGGGTTGTGGATGGGTATTCCAGCATGACAATGACCCAAAACACACGGCCAAGGCAACAAAGGAGTGGCTCAAGAAGAAGCACATTAAGGTCCTGGAGTGGCCTAGCCAGTCTCCAGACCTTAATCCCATAGAAAATCTGTGGAGGGAGCTGAAGGTTCGAGTTGCCAAACGTCAGCCTCGAAACCTTAATGACTTGGAGAAGATCTGCAAAGAGGAGTGGGACAAAATCCCTTCTGAGATGAGTGGAAACCTGGTGGCCAACTACAAGAAACGTCTGACCTCTGTGATTGCCAACAAGGGTTTTGCCACCAAGTACTAAGTCATGTTTTGCAGAGGGGTGAAATACTTATTTCCCTCATTAAAATGCAAATCAATTTATAACATTTTTGACATGCGTTTGTCTGGATTTGTTTGTTGTTATTCTGTCTCTCACTGTTCAAATAAACATACCATTACAATTATAGACTGATCATATCTTTGTCAGTGGGCAAACATACAAAATCAGAAGGGGATCAAATACCCTTTTCCCTCACTGTAGGCCTCGTAGTCCCAAATATTACATTTTTAGAACTAATTAAGATTGGACTCTGATGACCCCGCTGACCTGAAGAGAAGAAAAAGAGGACATGAACATTCTGGGATTTTCCGGGTCAAACACTTTCTTACAGTTAGCTAATAATGTCTCTGTACCACAGAATGTACTGTATCAGCTTTCTGGGTATGTGGATTGTTACCAGACAGTGCACAACTGAGCAAGAGGACAAATACATTAGAGTGTCTAGTTTGAGAAACAGGCACCTCACAGGTCCTCAACTGGCAGCTTCAATAAATAGTACCCACAAAACACTAGTCTCAACGTCAACAGTGAAGAGGCGACTCTGGGATGCTGACCTTCTAGGCAGAGTTGCGAAGAAAAGCCATATCTCAGACTGCCCATCTTAATGTTTTCTTTTTATTGGCCAGTCTGAGATAACGCTTTTTCTTTGCAACTCTACCTAGAAGGTCAGCATAATATGAGGTTTGCTAACATTACAAGTTGGAATGTAAAAGGTTTATATGATGCTGTAAACAGAGAGAATGGCATGAATCATCAGGTATAGGCCTACACACCTCCAGGGTCTGGTTGGACAACCAGATACTGTCTTTCCAAAGATCCTTACAGTTACACAGAGACTTTTCAATATGGGCGTTCTAATGTCCGAAGTCCAGGTAAAATGCACATTTATGGTACTCGGCTTTGCCTGGTACCTGGTACCTACGACCACAGCCAGGCTAAAAAGGTTGTAACCCACTCCCTTTCGTGTACAATTTCTTTAATGTGTACAATTGCTGTTAGCAGCTCTGCTGTGCACATTAACACAGCAATAGGCCTATTCAATGATAACTTGATCTATTTGGTTCAACCAGAAAATAATATATTAATTAGTAATTGTTTTATATGCAGTGCATATTTTTTTGAAGCATGTTCAATAGAAAATCCAAGGTGCTTTTTAGTCATAGAACAGACTATCTTGGTCTGGGAAACCTGAGACAGTGATAGTGACAGTAGTCCATATAAAACCATGATTCTGGTAAGTCATAAAGAAGTATGAATTTGCATTCCTTTATGCATGTTCACAACACTCCTTTGTATTGGTATCTGGCCTCTGTTCCATCATGATTCTATGATTATAGACACAATTGCATTGTTTAGCTCTGAGCACAGAAGCAGGGATGCTGCATATCACACCAAGTTGATGAGGTAGTTTTAAAGGGGCAATCTGGGATTCGAAAAACAACAAGCGGTCAACCTGCTGCTTGTTTTGGTTAACAGCTGAGAGATGGGACTAGAGAAATCGACAGAGCTCTGAATGACCATCCATGAGATCAAAATGATAGTTTTAACCATGTTTTGAAGCTAAACAGTGTTTGACATTTTTAACAAACAATGAAGTTGAACTAAGCTCATAACTAATAAGTTATATTATTCAAGAATCAGTGGCTATAGGTAATTAATTTAAAAGTCCAAAAATGTATGTAGCAATTAGGGGCTGCCCCTTTAAAACCTGCTGTTTTTTGTGTCATGGTACCCTCAACTTTCAGCTTGAACTCTACCAGGAAGTCCACTAGACAATGGTTGTTACATGTTTATTGTTCCAGTAAAGGTACTTATCTTTACCATGCCGTCCCTAGGAGGGGTGCGTCACTTGAGTGGGTTGAGTCACTGACGTGATCTTCCTGTCCGGTTTGACGCCCCCTCAGGCTCATGCAGTAGAGGAGAACTTCGTGGGCTATACTCAGCCATGTCTCAGGGTAGTAGGTTGGTGGTCAGTTGATATCCCTCTGGTGGTGTGGGGGCTGTGCTTTGGCAAAGTGGGTGGGGTTACATCCTGCCTGGTTGGCCCTGTCCGGGGGTATCGTCGGATGGGGCCACAGTGTCTCCCGACCCCCCATGTCTCAGCCTCCAGTATCTATGCTGCAATGGTCTATGTGCCGGGGGGCTAGGGTCAGTCTGTCTTATCCAGTGTTCTGTGTGAATTTAAGTATGCTCCCTCTAATTCTCTCTCTCTCCCTCTCTCCCTCCCCTCCCGGAGGACCTGAGCCCTAGGACCATGCCTCAGGACTACCTGGCCTGATGACTTCTTGCTGTCCCCAGTCCACCTGGTCATGTTGCTGCTCCAGTTTAAACTCTTCTGCCTGCGGCTATGGAACCCTGACCTGTTCACTGGACGTGCTACCTTGTCCCAGACCTGCTGTTTTCAACTCTCTCTACCGCACCTGCTATTTCAACCTCTAAATGCCCGGCTATGAAAAGCCAAGTGACATTTACTCCTGATGTACTGACCTGTTGCAACCTCTACAACCACTGTGATTATTATAATCTCCACCGGGCACAGCCAGAAGGGGACTTGCCACCCCTCAGAGCCTGGTTCCTCTCTAGGTTCTTCCTAGGTTTCTGCCTTTTTAGGGAGTTCTTCCTAGCCACCGTGCTTCTACATCTGCATTGCTTGCTGTTTGGGGTTTTAGGCTGGGTTTCTGTATAGCACCTTGTGACATCTGCTGATGTAAAAAGGGCTTTATAAATACATTTGATTGATTGATTGATTTTATTATTCTGACATGGTCCATCAGCAAGGAATTTCCTTTTCACTGTAATGATCGTTATATAATTCTAGAGGATAATGTGGTCATATAGGGACCTTAACAGACAGCAAGGTTTATACAAATCTCCGCTGTTGATAACTAAATGTTAGTCTAAAAGAAAATGTGAGATAAGGTCTAGATGCTTTTTATAGTGAAGATCACGTTTATAAATTGCCTGGCTGGGCTGATGAGACAGTGTATTGCTCAGTCAGATGGAACAGAGTAAATATATTATTATATTATTATTATTATATTAAATAGGCATTTTAACGTGATTAGATTTAGCCAGTGGTAACTTGTGGAATAGACACCGGCTGGAATGCGGTTTTAACCAATCAGCATTCAGGATTAGACCCACCCATTGTATAACATAGCACAATCATTTTAATTTAGGTAGCTATCATTCTAACATTTCAGCTATTTAAAAAATAAAATAATGGTAGATGAGAGAATTTGAAGTTTCCTTCCAAAACGCTATATATCCATTTTTGTTGGTAAGTTTGGCAAATTAACTTTTTTTGTTAAAATAAATTATTAAATCTAATCATGGCATGGGGTTGTTCAATGACAGACATGATGGTTTCATTTCAGAGTGACAAATAATCATTTATTTTTGCACAATTCTATATATCCACCTCACTGAGCGAGATAAGTAGTACTTCTAGGTTTTATATAGTCATAACAAAAAACTGCTTTTTTTAATCAAGTAAATTATACAAAAAATATCAACAAAAAAAACACAAACAAAAACAGTAATATGAGATCTGTATGTAAAACATTTACATTTGACATTGTAGTCATTTAGCAGATGCTCTTATCCAGAGTGCATTCATCTTAAGATAGCTAGGTGAGACAACCTAATATCACAATCAAATATACAGGATATGAACTTTCCATTCCAGCCAATGGATATATAGCATTTTGCAGAAAAACACATTGTTTTTTTTTTACAATCTATGAATACAAAATTGATTACAAACACATGAAGGCACCCATAAGGAATCATTTATGATGAAAAAACACAAAGGTGAAAAATGCATGGATATAACATTTTGGAAATAAACTCTTGATTTCCCTCCACTTTTGATTTAATGTTTTCTACAGTCTGAAATAAAGGAAGGTTTGCTATGATTCAGTTCAATGAGCTGCAGCTACATTTGTTTATAATCATAGTTTGTCTTAAGCATGACTAACTCTCCTTGATTTCATTGAACACATTGTCACACTAGCAATCAGACAAGCCACCATAGTTACTGTGGTGACTGATATGACTATAGCAGTAATGTTCACACCACCGCCTGATGTACCTGGCCCACCAGGAGCATCAGTTGGAACAGGAGCTTTGGGAACAATCTTGGTCACTTGAATAATGTTGGATGTTTCAGATTTCAGGAAAGCTTTGTCTTCTGCTTTTGCTGCAAAGAACAGAGTGGTGGCGTTTTTTATGATTGAGAAGAGAGTGAAAGAGAGCTTTTCTATGGAGCCTGCCTTCTTTGGTGGGAGGTTGTATGTGACAAGATGTGCGGTACTGAAGTTGGATCTGAGTAGGTCCGAATCTTCACTAAAACGGATCTCATAGGCCGTTGCTGAAAAATAGAGATGCCAAGTAGGTGTAAGTATATCATACACCAAGACAGCACACAGATTATCTGATTGTTAGCATTTTGCACCCATGTCGTATGAAATATAAGTATTGGTGAAATACTGTACATGTCAGTGTTGCAGTGTTTTTTATTATTATTATTATTTTGTGAATATTAGGCCTGCAATACAGATTTTAATCCAAGCAAAAAATCTGGAATGAGATGCTCATTATTTATTATTATTTACCTGTGCCTTGATCCATGTCTTCCCCAGGTGCAGTCCAGGTGAGTACTACTTTGTCCTCCTCTATCTCTGCATTCAGGTCTGTGATTTTGTTAGGGGGAAAATTTGGAGGGGGGACACCAGGTGGGAGACTGACTGAGAAGCTCTCTCCTATAGCTGTCCTGGTGAAGCTGCCCACATCAGCCTGCAGGTCGTCCTCACTGACTGGGGGCTTTGGGGGATTCATCACTACTTGTCCTGGGACAAATTCATCAAACAAATGAATTTATACATATCCCAACTAATTTACTGCCTACAGAAAATCATACACTTGATTGTTATAAGGCTAGTCATAGGTATGGATACTGATCAATCACATTAAACGATATTTGGATATTAAGAGAAATCATGATCAGTGGCATTTATACACCAGTGATCATGATCTACAATTCATGAATGAAAAACATATGTAGTGTCAGATGTAATATACTGTACCATCAACCACATATCCAGGTATGTAAAGTGCTCCACTGTGTCTCCTGAGGGAGAATCTGGCTGTGCCTTCATCGTTCTGTACTTTCACTTTCAAGCTGTATTTTCCTGTTGCTAGATTAGTGAAGTAACTGGAATAGATGCCGTCATGTCTGAAAGCATCAGCACCTGAAAAAATAGGATTTGTTATGGCAAGATAATCTTAATGAAGTAACTTGAATAGATGCCATCATGTCTGAAAGTATTTTTTTCAAACTTAAATGAATAAAAGCATTTGAGGTTTTGACTCCTGTAACACCTACTCCATTGTGGTTCTACCTCACCTGCTCCATTATCTTGCAGTTTCAGCTCATATGGGACTCCACTGTCAGGCGTTATTGTGGCCTTCACATCTGCCAGAATCACTGGAACTTTATCCTGGCTGACCTCTGCATACACCACCATGGGTTTGCTGCCATCACTGGACAGTTGGCTCATGTGGGCTTTGGCAGTGACTGGTAATATATCTTTACTGACAGCACGACTTGTCACAGTCATTGACATAGCCTGGGGTGTTGGTTGTTTATTTCTAAGGCTGTATGTCCACTTTCCAGTCTAGTAAATAAGATAATGATTAATACAATTTGACATTCAACTATTGAAATAATGTTTTACTACTTGCAGATATGAAACAAACAGACAATCATAATATCAGTTACAAATATCAAATTCCTAGTTTATGCTTCAAAACCAACTTTATAAGAGGTTTTAAAAATAGATTATATTTTACTATAGGCCTGTACAGCATCCTATGTATATAAGTGGACATTTGAAAAGGACATATTTTTCAAACAATGGCATAGTTTGGGCTAGCGTATCTCTTTATGTAGCTAGCTATTTATTTAGCAAGCTAAAAACACGGAGCCTAACGTAAGCTAGCTAGCTAGCTGCTGGGAGGATGCCATGTCATTGGAGGAGTGGGTGGGTGACCTACTTTTTCCCCTCATATCGTTTTTCGGTGGCTACAGGCTACAGCTAGAGATGCAAGTGTCATTTGGTTAGCTAGCAATAAATATATGAATCGCTTTGCTAGCTAGGCTGAACTTAAATGACTGTTATCCACAGTTAGCATATCTCTTAGTTGTCATTTCAATATATTTGGTATCGATCAAATGGGCAGACAGGCAAGTTACCATTCAGTTGTCAAAACGTGGGTTGGGACAAGCATGCATTAACAGGCAAGATGCAGAAGGATGAGCAGCCTATTCCCGATTGTTTATCAGTGCAATTTTGACAGACAACTAGCTGTAGAAGTTTGAGAGGGTTTATGTTCCCTCGTTAGATTTTAGCTCATCTCGCTCTGGCTAACATTAGTTCTTAATCTTGTTGTTGTTGATGTGCATAGGCAACTGAGGGAGAGAGAGCCTACCTTTTCATGGTTGTTTGATCAATAGGACTGTAAAGTTCCCAAATGTAAGAGGACTCCCGTGATATTTATATATTTACATATTATGCTCTAAAGTTGCAATGCCTTTAAACACACAGTCCAGTTCAAAGTGAATGACGGCAGGCCCATGTGGCAAATAGCTTATTTGCATATAGGCCTTCAGTAGCTGTGATTGGCTATGGCGCACCGGTCTGTGTAGACTCAGGTCCTGGACAAGACAGATGGTTTTATTTACTGCAGTGTCTATTATTTGTCCAAAAGCACGGCCGCTTTCCAACATTATGTTGCTATAGAATTTTCACAAATGCCTTACTATATGTTATTCCCAAAATTTGATGAATTTATGAAAACGTGAAAATGACCATATCTAAGTGCTTGCTTGTTAGAAAATGTTTTTTAAAAGTGTCACTTTAATTATTATTGGCATAAAGCAAATTCAAAAACCAACGCAAAGACTATGAAAACATGTTCATTAATACCAAATCTGTTTTTCAACATGTAAAATGCACACAAAAAGACTCACTTCTGCAGTTCCTGGAATATCCATTGTGCAACTCTTTGCTGAAGGGTCAGCTTTGAATTTTGATTCATCATATATTTGTCCAGAGGGGCTTGTTAAAAGGATGGCAGGTTGAGTTTTTTCATAAAGGACTAAAACACTTGTGTTGTTTCCAACTGTTCTGTCAATAGACACAGACCCATTAAACCAATCACTAGTTGTCAATCCAGAGCTTTCAAGCTGTTGAGGAGAAATAAAAAAAATGTTAACATCTGAGAATATTATCAGTATTTTACATAATTGCCTGCAGTTCCATCTCACCTGAATTGTTTGCTGAGTCAGATTTCCATCAGATGTTGTGAGTGAAGCGAAGACATCCACAAGTTCATTGGAATTCAAACCTTCCTCTGCTCTGAAAAATTTACCACCTAGAACATAAACAGCATGAGGGAGAGCAGGGATGATCAGATGATAGGGCTGTAATAGCTTTATTCTCTGTTGACAATTAAAACTGCAGTGTCTGTTATCCCTGCCGATGTCAAAAGTGATGCTTTAAAGGCCCACACTGAATATATAGTGCATTCGGAATGTACCCCTTGACTTTTTCCACATTTCGTTACGTTACAGCCTTATTCTAAAATAATCATCAATCTACACACAATACCCCATAATGACAAAGCAAATACAGGTTTTTAGAAATTGTTGCAAAAGTATTAAAAATAAAAAACTGAAATATCACATTTACATAAGTATTCAGACCCTTTACTTAGTACTTTGTTGAAGCACCTTTGGCAGCGATGACAGCCTCGAGTCTTCTTGGGTATGACGCTACAAGCTTGGCACACCTGTATTTTGAGAGTTTCTCCCATTCTTATCTGCAGATCCTCTCAAGCTCTGTCAGGTTGGATGGGGAGCGTCGCTGCACAGCTATTTTCAGGTCTCTCCAGAGCTGTTCGATCGGGTTCAAGTCTGGCTCTGTCTGGGCCACTCAAGGACATTCAGAGACTTGTCCCGAAGCCACTTCTGTGTTGTCTTGGCTGTGTGCTTAGGGTCATTGTCCTGTTGGAAGGTGAACCTTTGCCCCAGTCTGAGGTCCTGAGCGCTCTGGATCAGGTTGTCATCAAGGATCTCTCTGTACTTTGCTCCGTTCGTCTTTGCCTCGATCCTGACTAGTCTCCCAGTCCCTGCCGCTGAAAAACATCCCCACAGCATGATGTTGCCACCAACATGCTTCACCTTAGGGATGGTGCCAGGTTTCCTCCATACGTGACACTTGGCATTCAGGCCAAATAGTTAAATCATGGTTTCATCAGACCAGAGAATCTTGTTTCTCATGGTCTGAGTCCTGTAGGTGCCTTTTGGCAAACTCCAAGCGGGCTGTCATATGCCTTTTACTAAGGAGTGGCTTCCGTCTAGCCACTCTACCATAAAGGCCTGATTGGTGGAGTGCTGCAGAGATGGTTTGTCCTTCTGGAAGGTTCTCCCATCTCCACAGAGGAACTCTGGAGTTCTGTCAGAGTTACCATCGGGTTCTTGGTCACCTCCCTGACCAAGGCCCTTCTCCCCCGATTGCTCAGTTTGGCCGGGCTGCCAGCTCTAGGAAGAGTCTTGGTGGTTCCAAACGTCTTCCATTTAAGAATGATGGAGGCCACTGTGTTCTTGAGAACCTTCAATGCTGCATACTTTTTTTCCCCCCAGATCTGTGCCTCGACACAATCCTGTCTTGGAGCTCTACGGACAATTCCTTCAACCTCATGGCTTGGTTTTTGCTCTGACATGCACTGTCAACTGTGGGACCTTATATAGACAGGTGTGTGCCTTTCCAAATCATGTCCAATCAATTAGATTTACCACAGATGGACTGTAATCAAGTTGTAGAAACATCTCAAGGATGATCAATGGAAACAGGATGCACCTGAGCTCAATTTCGAGTCTCATAGCAAAGGGTCTGAATACTTACGTAAATAAGGTATTTCTGTTTTTTATTTTTGCAAAAATTTATAAAAACCTGTTTTCTCTTTGTCATTATGGGGTATTGTGTGTAGATTGATGAGGAAAAACAATTATTTAATCCATTTTAGAATAAGGCTGTAACGTAACAAAATTAGGAAAAAGTCAAGGGGTCTGAATACTTTCCGAATGCACTGTAAGAATATCACCTTAAAATGCCTCATGACCTTAGCTCAATTGTCTAACAACATGATCACACAATGAATGCTGACATTGGTCGAAAATCCCAGCCACAGATAGTCGTCTTTTTACTTAAACTGAAATTGCCCCTAGAAGGCACTGCACAACTGTACAACAACATGGGGTCAAATACCGTAACTGAAAAACAGCATTGTTACAAATCTGGTGAGTGACCAGGCTGGCCTAACCAATCAAAACCCAACATAATGTATATGTTTGTTTTACTCCACTGTAAACAAATAATGTATAGCTTCATAATATGGTTAAAATGATCATATTTATCTCATGGACTTGTCAGTCCTTGTATCCAAAGCTCCATCTATGAATTTGAGAGTAATTACATTTCTCCAGCCCCATCCGTTAGCTTTATAGCAAATCCTAGTGGCTGGGCTTCTGTTTTATTGTTTCCTAAATGCCTGAAGTACATGCAATTTAATATTTTGCAAATGGTTAATAATGTCCATAATTTGTCAGCTCTAGAACTTGCCTTCTCGCTATTGCCTACCTGATATATTTGACATTTCTGGCAATTGTTTGTCTCCATTTGGTCCCAAAGAAATTGTATGTACAATTGCACCGCTTTTATTGACTAACGTCAAACAATCCATTGGTGTATTTGATTCCCCATCAGTCAAGAAAACTATTTCATCTCCTGTAGCGTTTCCATCATCTCCTTGAAGAACCTTAAATAGGAATGTATATACAGTCGTTTTTGAAAAATTGAACTGAGGTTCTTACTGATGTTTCTGATTTCTAAGAGTCTGATCAATCTAATCGACAGGATAAGGAATTATTGTAATATTAACGTCTGATCTGTGTTTCCAGGTTTCAATTCTTTACAGAGTAAAGGTTGAAGTTAGTTTTAAAAAATTACCTTTAAACCTTCTTTAAGGCCTTCACAAATTTGAGTGCCTCCACCACTATCTGTTTTTGGCAAAGAATCAACCAGCTCTTCCCTCTTGCTGTTACTGTTAATCAGAGTCAAAGATTTTAGGGGTCTGCCAGTGCTGTCAAATATTGCAATCCCAACTAAAGATTGGTCTTCAATGATCTGCCTCAAGAACAATGAGGCTGCCTGCCGTAGTGTCTGGATTCTCTGACCCTTGTGGAGAAAACAAAACAGAAAACAACTTGTTTGTATCAATATTAATTTCAGTTGCCACTGTACCATTCACAATTTTAAGACTGATACACTGGTGCCATTTTTTTTGGCTACTATTTTGATGATGTTTGCTTTCTGGACAGCCCTTTTCCAATTAGTAATGAATAAAGTGTTCACTAAATGTTATTACTGAACCAGATTTATCCACAAATTCCCTGTTGCATTGCCCGGACTGTGCTGTGATTGTAAAACGTTGCCCTTACATACATACCCTCATGCTTCCTGAAACATCAAGGACAAGACAGACAACTCTTTGCCGTCGCTGAACCACAGTGAATGTGGGTAGTATACTTGGTGGTGTTGGCACGACTGCCACACCGGCATCTACAGACAGTGAGGTGATAACTTCCTCTACACCTCTGTTATCACACAGTCTGTTCTGCATGTTTGGAGCCTCAGTGTTGTGAGTTTTTTTTGTACAGAACTCTTTTACCTGTAGGGCGAACACAACACAAGTGTTACTGTCATTACTGTAAATTGACCTTAACAGGTAGGATGGGATAAGTTGTGCATTACACATGCATTACGTTAGGGATAATCAATGAGGGGCTATGTGTTCTATGGGATGACGTGGAAGGTGTGTTTCCTGACGCGCTAGCAGAGTGGCACTAATCTTCCACGGAGTTGCATTATTTTCCATAGAACACATTGCCCCGAGTTGATCATCCTGCTTTTGAGCTGCTTTTGAAAGCAAAAGTTGAATTGAAAACAGTATTGCTATTGTTGAATTCGATTTTCATAATAGCAAGCTAGGAAGTATGTTTGGTTACCACGGCAACTATTGTAGCTATCTAGTAAACTTGCTAGCTACTTCAGTGGATGTTGAACATATTTCTACCGGCAAATGAACACATTTCTAGTGGCAAATGTATTAAATTATAGCCATGGTATCAAAGGGATAATCAACCCAGGGCTCTATGCGTTCTCTGGAAAATAATGTAACTCCGTGGAAGGTCAGTTCCACTCCGCTAGCACGTCGGGGAACACACATTCCACGTCGTTCATTTTTTCCATAGAACACATAGCCCCGAGTTGATTATTTCTTACTTATACAACGGTTGTGTCTAATCCTGAATGCTGATTGGTTAAAACCGCAATCCAGCCGGTGTCTATTCCACAAGTTACCACCGGCTAAATCGAATCACGTTAAAATGCCTATTTACTCTGTTCCATCTGACTGCGCAATCCACTGTCTCATCAGCCCAGCCAAGCAATTTATAAACTTGATCTCCACTATAAAAAGACATTATCTCACATTTCTTTTAGACTAACATTTAGTTTTCAACAGGGGAGATTTGTATAAATCTTGCTGTCTGTCTCTCCGACATTTACAACATTGTTTCAATATTCAAATTAGATCTCCAGTTGTCCAATAGTAATGAATGTGTCTGGAGTCTGGAGGAGACAGACACCCAAGCAGCATTTCTCAGCCAGTCGAAATCATGAATCAGCTGGCATAATTTTTATGGATATATAAAAATAAATGTCAATTGAAAAAAGGTAAAAGTCTTTCCAGCTTCAGTTTGAAGTGATTGTGTGAGCTGTGTTGTTGGCTAGCTCCTCTGAACAACAGTGTCCTGACGAGAGAGCACATGTTCTACGCCAGGCGAAATCGCACATCATTAGCTCATTGTTATGGATGTATCCAAATAAATGTCACTAGAAAACAGCTTAAGCAAACGCAAATGTAGCTACCTTGACATTATTCTGGCTGCACTCTTTGACGTGACTGTAAATTAGCCGTAGTTGGCTAGCTAGTAAGCAATGGATAAGAACGTTGCCAGCCAGTATGGCAATGGAACATTTAGAACGAATGTCTGGGCCACGTCCATAGATACAGAACAAAAAGACTGAACAACTGGATCGCGTCTCTGGCAACCGAACCGATAGAACGAATGACCAGCCAGCTTGGGTAGCAACCCTAGATTTGTGTCGGGACTATATCTTGTGGAAGCATGAAATAGTATGAATAAATTCATCAAAATAATGTTTTTATGAAAATATGTCGATCTTTAATTTAATATGTTGGTAACCCGTTGTATAAAAGTGATAATGCCCTCGAAGCCGGTGTTTGGAGGATACAGTATATTGGCACGATTATTCAACATGCCGTGGTATAAATGTGTATAACCTTCTTCAGTGGGCAGCGGTGGGCAGCGGCTTTGAAAGCTTCTACTCACAGCATCAAGGCCTTGATTATACATGATAGATGCAGAGGTTGTCTGGTGCATGTCAGGATAGAATACACAGTCTTTGGTGTATAACCCAGTCACAGGATCAGTGGTGCAGCTGTTTTGGTCATTTTTGTTGATGGACTTTCCTGTAATGTTTATGGTACATCTGAAAAATGTGAAATGAACATTGTTCAATTAACAATAAAATGATTGTGCAGATAGGGTTGGTTGGCTCAAAGTCTCAATAATTTAAGAAACATCATAATTTAGATGTTGGGAGATGCATGTCATAGTGGAAACTGAATTAAATCCATAAATAGACAATGGGCTATAAAAGTGAAGAGAGTCACACATTATGTCTAAGCTCCCAGTCATGTATTGGGTAAAACACCAACGTTTGGCATCACTGTGCCTTCTTCAGGCCTACAGTTTACTTGCCCTTAGTCAGCACCTCTACTAACTTGTGTTGGTGTGCGCCAGCTCATGCTTTTCACTAGACACAGACAATAATAATGGGCAGGTACAGTTTAACTGGGACCTTTGCCATGTTCTGCAAACAATACGGAATCTATTGAAAATGTGTTTGATATTAAAAATAAAATAAAATGCAACTTTTTTAACTCCTTCAACTTTAAGGACAAATGAAGCCACTTAAAGGGGAATTCCACCCCTTTTCAACCCATATTCATTATCTCCAGCACCATACCAGTTTCTACATATGTATAATAGCACATTTATACATTTGTAGTTAAAAACATAAGAAGGTCCTAATTAAGTGCAATTTTATGATGTCATGAAAAATAAAAACAGTGATCTTCCTGCTCCCCTCATCACAGTGAATTTCATATTCTTTGAAAATATATATTTTTTAACTACAGAACGCATAAATGTTGTGTGTTGGAATTCCCCTTTAATGGATACAATATGAATATGGAATTGTATAAATTATAAAGATTACCTTGTTGCCTCGATTGAAGAACCTGACGTGTAGAATGGTTTTTCTTCATTATATTCATCAAAAACTCCCCATCTTAGATGTGCCCATTCATGGACAAAAACCTTACCTGGAAGTGATTTTTAGAAGGGAAATTCAACAAATAGGATTTCTGTGTTGGGTCTTTTACAGTAACAGCAGATAGAGTTTACGGCAGGTGCCTCTAACCTCTGGGTCCATAGTTTTTAGCGACATCATCATCTAGCATGAAGTCAGGAGTCAAATGAATGTACCGGCCCTCAGATCCACATTCACCATACTGCAGAGTGTAAGGCTGATCGCCATGTGATTTATTTGGCTCATCAATTATTATATTGGCCTATAACAGAGACAATGCAAATGATTAACAAAATAACTAGATTTGCCATAATACTTCAAAGTGTTTGTAATTACTAGAGAACACTTATACTTTAGAAAAGAGGATACCATGCCTATTTACATACTGACTACCTGGTCTTATGAGTTATATATTGATGTTTTTGAACAAACGTCCAATTTTGTAAAATGTTCCCCTTAACTATAAAATTGTAATTTATGTCTTCCTTGTTGTATTTTAACAATTAAGGTTACGGTTACTATTACAGTTAGAGTTATGTAACAGATAATATAATTGCAAATCTACACTACATGGCCAAAGGTATGTGGACACCTGCTCCTCGAACATCTCATTCCAAAATCATGGGCATTAATATGGAGCTGGTCCCCCCTTTGCTGCTATAACAGCCTCCACTCTTCTGGGAAGACTTTCCACTAGATGTTGGAACATTGCTGCGGGGACTTGCTTCCATTAAAAAAACAAGAGCATTAGTGAGGTCGGGCACTGATGTTGGGCGATTAGACCTGGCTCATTCATCCCAAATGTGTTCGAAGGGGTTGAGGTCAGTGCTCTGTGCAGGCCAGTCATGTTCTACCACACCGATCTCAACAAACCATTTCTCTATGGACCTCACTTTGTGCACGGGGGTGAAACAGGAAAGAGCCTTCCCCAAACAGTTGCCACAAAGTTGGAATCACAGAATTGTCTAGAATGTCATTGTATGCTGTAGCATTAAGATTTCCCTTCACTGGAACTAAGGGGCCTAGCCTGAACCATGAAAAACAGCCCCAGACCATTATTCTTCCTCCACCAAACTTTACAGTTGGCACTATGCATTGAACTGCCAGATGGTGAAGCTTGGTTCAACGCGTTTCCACTGCTCCAGAGTCCAATGGCGGAAAGCTTTACACCACTCCAACCGACACTCGGCATTGCGCATGGTGATCTTAGGCTTGTGTGCGGCTGCTCGGCCATGGAAACGAATTTCATGAAGCTCCCGGCGAACACTTCTTGTGCTAACGTTGCTTCCAGAGGTGGTTTGGAACTCGGTAGTGAGTGTTGCAACTGAGGACAGACAATTTTTATGCGCTACACGCTTCAGCTCTCAGCGGTCCCATTCTGTGAGCTTGTGTAGCCTCCCACTTCGCGGCAGAGCTGTTGTTGCTCCTAGACATTTCCACTTCACAATTGCAGCACTTATAGTTGACCAGCAGGGCAGAAATTTGACGAACTGACTTGTTGGCAAGGTGGCATCCTATGACGTTGAAAGTCACTGAGCTCTTCAGTACTGGCCATTCTACTGACAATGTTTGTCTATGGAGATTGCATGCCAGTGTGCTCGATTGTATACACCTGTCAGCAACAGGTGTGGCTGAAAGAGCCGAATACACTAATTTGAAGGGGCGTCCACATACTTTTGTAGTGTGTAGTGTATCTTCCCTATGAATGAATGTCTATGAATGAACGCCTCTCCCCTATTTCACCTAGATAGTTTGTGTGTATGTATTGATATGGTAGGCTATGTGTGGCTACGATGTAGTTCTGTTCTTGAGCTGTTGTCTATTAATGTTCAGTATTATGTCATGTTTCATGTTTTGTGTGGACCCCAGGAAGAGTAGCTGCTGCTTTTGCAAGAGCTAATGGGGATCCTAATAAAATACCAATACTAACTGAAATAAATGTAATGATGAGGAACCAAAAGCTAATAGAATGTCAGTCAGGTTCCTTCTCTGTCAATGGTGGTAATGATGACTTCAACTGAGCACAAAGGACTCCAACATCAGTGTAAATCAGACTTTTGCATGTTTTAGATTGTCTCAATACCTTATCGTAGACCTCCGTCTTTGCTCTGGAGTAATTTCTTTTGTTCCAATTTGGTGGCACTAATATTGTGACTTCCTTGAAATAGAAATTTTTCTCTGTTGCGCTAAGTAGATGTCTGGAGGCTTCTTTAATCATTTCCTGAAGTAACAAATGAAATAGAATAAAACAAAAACTGTCTAATTGAATCTTTTGGTTTACTTTCATTATTAATAAAACAATCACAGCATGTCTGTTCTATGGTTAGATACAGCATTTGAATTTCAACATCAAAAACAGCAATATCCTACATTCATTAACATTCACAATATCCTAAAATATGTATTACCTGTTGAGTGGAGAAATAATGTTTTTCTTAATTAATTTATTACCTCGATTTGTGTGATGAGCACTGGGTCCTCAGGCACCTCAGGGTTAATTGCAACCAGAATGTCAGTGTATCCATTTCCTTCCAGCTTGATCCCAAAAGTAAATCCTGACAGGTAAACCAGCAGCAACACAGCCACTGCTTTAGAGGCCATGGTGGTGGACTCAGTGATGTGTAGGAATGATCTGTGATCTGTCAGTTATATTAGCTGAGATAGCAGGGGGTGGAAATAAACATAGAATTGCCCCATAATTATGTAAATAAGATGTCATTGGATTAGATGCCCTTATCACATGCCCAGTGTTTTCGAGAAGCCACAAGTGCTGATTCACCTAGAACTGTATTTCAGGGAGGGGTTGAGGGGAACTGAAAGGCAACAAAAAAAAAAGGAAAAAAATGTTATGTACAATATACTGTGTCCGTAAAATATATGGCAAATAGAAATCAAAAATGGATGGCCTTCAGAGATGGATGGGAGAGGTTGAGGGTAGCTGAAGGATGGGACTAAAATTAAACAAAAGATAACAAATGTCAAATATAATGTCAAATGTATAACAAAATGTGGAAATATATAAATATATGCCTTTCTTATTATTTTCCTATATATATATATATATATATATAAATATAGTGTACAGTTGAAGTCGGAAGTTTACTTACAATTTAGCCAACTACATTTAAACTCAGTTTTTCACAATTCCTGACATTTAATCCTAGTAAATATTCCCTGTCTTAGGTCAGTTAGGATCACCACTTTATTTTAAGAATGTGACATTTCAGAATGATAGTAGAGAAAATTATTTATTTTCAGCCTTTATTTATTTTTTCACATTCCCAGTGGGTCAGAAGTTTACATACACTCAATTAGTATTTGGTAGCATTGCCTTTAAATTGTTTAACTTGGGTCAAACGTTTCGGGTAGCCTTCCACATGCTTCCCACAATAAATTGGGTGAATTTTGGCCCATTCCTAATGACAGAGCTGTTGTAACTGAGTCAGGTTTGTAGGCCTCCTTGCTCGCAGACGCTTTTTTCAGTTCTGCCCACAACTGTTCTATAGGATTGAGGTCAGGGCTTTGTGATGGCCACTCCAATACCTTGACTTTGTTGTCCTTAAGCCATTTTGCCACAACTTTGGAAGTATGCTTGGGGTCATTGTTCATTTGGAAGACCCATTTGCGACCAAGCTTTAACTTCCTGACTGATGTCTTGAGATGCTGCTTCAATATATCCACATCATTTTCCTTCCTCATTATGCCATCTATTTTGTGAAGTGCACCAGTCCCTCCTGCAGCAAAGCACCCCCACAGCATGATGCTGCCACCGCCGTGCTTCACAATTGGGATGGTGTTCTTCAGCTTGCAAGCGTTCCCCTTTTTCCTCCAAACATAACGATGGTCATTATGGCCAAACAGTTCTATTTTTGTTTCATCGGACCAGAGGACATTTCTCCAAAAAGTACGATATTTGTCCCCATGTGCAGTTGTAAACCGTAGTCTGGCTTTTTTATGGCGGTTTTGGAGCAGTGGCTTCTTCCTTGCTGAGCGGCCTTTCAGGTTATGTTGACATAGGACTTGTTTTACTGTGGATATAGGTACTTTTGTACCGATTTCCTCCAGCATTTTCACAAGGTCCTTTGCTGTTGTTCTGGGATTGATTTGTACCAAAGTACGTTCATCTCTAGGAGACAGAATGCGTCTCCTTCCTGAGCGGTATGACGGCTGCGCGGTCCCATGGTGTTTATACTTGCGTACTATTGTTTGTACAGATGAACGTGGTACCTTCAGGCATTTGGAAATTGATCCCAAGGATGAACCAGACTTGCGGAGGTCTAAAATTTTATTTCTGAGGTCTTGGCTGATTTCTTTTGATTTTCCCATGATGTCAAGCAAAGAGGCACTGAGTTTGATGTAAGGCCTTGAAATACATCCACAGGTACACCTCCAATTGACTCAAATTATGTCAATTAGCCTATCAGAAGCATCTAAAGCCATGAAATCATTTTCTGGAATTTTCCAAGCTGTTTAAAGGCACAGTCAACTTAGTGTATGTAAACGTCTGACCCACTGGAATTGTAATACAGTGAATTATAAGTGAAATAATCTGTCTGTAAACAATTGTTTGAAAAATTACTTGTGTCATGCGCAAAGTAGATGTCCTAACCGACTTGTCAAAACTATAGTTTGTTAACAAGACATTTGTGGAGTGGTTGAAAAACGAGTTTTAATGACTCCAATCTAAGTGTATGTACATTTCCGACTTCAACTGTATATACACTACCAGTCTTCCACTACCAGTCCTCTGTAGCTCAATTGGTAGAGCATGGCGCTTGTAACGCCAGGGTAGTGGGTTCGATCCCCGAGACCACCCATATGTAAAAATGTATGCACACATGACTGTAAGTTGCTTTGGATAAAAGCGTCTGCTAAATGGCATATTGTTATTATTACCAGTCAAAAGTTTGGACACACCTACTCATTCAAGGGTTTTTCTTTATTTTTTACTATTTTCTACATTTTATAATAATAGTGAAGACATCAAAACTATGAAATAACACATATGGAATCATGTAGTAACCAAAAAAGTGTTAAACAAATATTTGAGATTTGAGAATCTTCAAAGTAGCCACCCTTTGCCTTGATGACAGCTTTACACACTCTTGGCATTCTCTCAACAAGCTTCATGAGGTAGTCATCTGGAATTAATTTCAATTAACAGGTGTGCCTTGTTAAAAGTTAACTTAATGCATTTGAGCCAATCAGTTGTGTTGTGACAAGGTAGGGGTGGTATACAGAAGATAGCTCTATTTGGTAAAAGACCAAGTCCATATTATGGCAAGAACAGCTCAAATAAGCAAAGAGAAACGACAGTCCATCATTACTTTAAGACATGAAGGTCAGTCAATCTGGAAAATGTCAAGAACTTTTAAACGTTTCTTCAAGTGCAATCGCAATAACCATCAAGCGCTATAATGAAACTGTCTCTCATGAGGACCTCCACAGGAAAGGAAGACCCAGAGTTACCACTGTTGCAGAGGATAAGTTCATTAGAGTTGCCAGCCTCAGAAATTGCAGCCCCAAATTTTCCTTCACAGAGTTCAAGTAACAGACACATCTCAACATCAACTGTTCAGAGGAGACTGCGTGAATCAGGCCTTCATGGTCGAATTGCTGCAAAGAAACTGCTACTAAAGGACACCAATAAGAAGAAGAGATTTGCTTGGGCCAAGAAACACAAGCAATGGACATTAGACCGGTGGAAATCTGTCCTTTGGTCTGATTTGTCCAAATTTGAGATTTAGGGTTCCAACCGCTGTGTCTTTGTGAGATGCAGAGTAGGTGAACGAATGATCTCCGCATGCGTGGTTCCCACTGTGAAGCATGGAGGAGGAGGTGTGATGGTGTGGGTGTGCTTTGCTGGTGACACTGTCTGATGTATTTAGAATTCAAGGCACACTTAACCAGCATGGCTACCACAGCATTCTGCAGCGATACGCCATCCAATCTGGTTTGCGCTTAGTGGGATTATCATTTGTTTTTCAACAGGACAATGACCCAACACACCTCCAGGCTGTGTAAGGGCTAGTGATGGAGTGCTGTGTCATGGTACCCTCAACTTTCAGATTGAACTCTACCAGGAAGTCCACTAGACAAATGTTGTTACATGTTTATTGTTCCAGTAAAGGTACTTATCTTTACCATGCCGTCCCTAGGAGGGGTGCGTCACTTGAGTGGGTTGAGTCACTGACGTGATCTTCCTGTCCGGTTTGACGCCCCCTCAGGCTCAATCTTTTATTATTCTGACATGGTCCATCAGCAAGGAATTTCCTTTTCACTGTAATGATCCTTATGTCATTCTAGAGGATAATGTGGTCGTAAAGGGACCTTAACAGACAGCAAGGTTTATACAAATCTCCGCTGTTGAAAACGAAATGTTAGTCTAAAAGAAAATGTGAGATAAAGTCTAGATCATTTTTATAGTGGAGATCAAGTTTATAAATTGCCTGGCTGGGCTGATGAGACAGTGGATTGCACAGTCAGATGGAACAGAGTAAATAGGTTTAGCCAGTGGTAACTTGTGGAATAGACACCGGCTGGAATGCGATTTTAACCAATCAGCATTCAGGATTAGACCCCCCTTTGTATAATATAGCACAATCATTTTAATTGAGTTAGCTATCATTCTAACATTTCAGCTATTTAAAAAACGAAATAGTGTTAAATGAGAGAATTTGAAGTTTCCTTCCAAAACGCTATACTTCCATTTTTGTTGGTAAATTTGGTAAATTACATTTTTTGTTTAAAGAAATTATTAAATCTAATCATGGCATGGGGTTGTTCAATGACAGACTTGATGGTTTCATTTCAGAGTGACAAATAATTATGTATTTCTGTACAATTATATATATCCACCTCACTGAGAGAGATAAGTAGTACTGCTAGGGTTTATACAGTCATAACAAATAAATGCTTGTTTTAATAAAGAAATGTAAAAATTACAAAAAGAATATCAAAGTAAAATATCAATACAGTAATATGAGATCTGTATGTAAAACATTTACATTTGACATTGTAGTCATTTAGCAGATTATCCAGAGTGCATTCATCTTAAGATAGCTAGGTGAGACAACCAAATATCACACTCAAATATACAGGATATGAACTTTCCATTCCAGCCAATGGATATATAGCATTTTACAGAAACAATATTTTTTTTACAATCTATGAATAAAAAATAGATTACACACACATGAAGGCACCCATAACTCTTGATTTCCCTCTTGATTTTATTTAATGTTTTCTACAGTCTGAAACAAAGGAAGGTTTGCTATGATTACTACATTTGTTTATAATCATAGTTTGTCTTAAGCATGAATAACTCTCCTTGATTTCATTGAACACATTGTCACACTAGCAATCAGACAAGCCACCATGGTTACTGTGGTGACTGATATGACTATAGCAGTAATGTTCACACCACCGCCTGATGTACCTGGCCCACCAGGAGCATCAGTTGGAGAAGGCACAGGAGCTTTGGGAACAATCTTGGTCACTTGAATAATGTTGGATGTTTCAGATTTCAGGAAAGCTTTGTCTTCTGCTTTTGCTGCAAAGAACAGAGTGGTGCCGTTTTTGATGATTGAGAAGAGAGTGAAAGATAGCTTTTCTATGGAGCCTGCCTTCTTTGGTGGGAGGTTGTATGTGACAAGATGTGTGGTGATGAAATTGGATCTGAGTAGGACCAAATCTTCACTAAAACGGATCTCATAGGCCGTTGCTGAAAAATAGAAATGACAAGTGAATGCAAATAATATACACCAAGACAGCACAATGATTATCTGATTGTTAACATTTTGCACCCTGTTCAATGAAATGTAAGGATTGGTGAAATACTGTACATGTCAGTGTTGCAGTGTGTGTTTTATTTATTTAGTGAATATTAGGCCTGCATTACACATTTTAATCTAAGCAAAATATGTGGAATTATATCGATAACTTGTTGTTGAGATGTTCATTATTTATTTTATTATGTACCTGTGCCTTGATCCATGTCCTCCCCAGGTGCAGTCCAGGTGAGTACCACTTTGTCCTCCTCTATCTCTGCATTCAGGTCTGTGATTTTGTTAGGGGGGACATTTGGAGGGGGGAAACCAGGTGGAAGACTGAGAAGCTCTCTCCTATGGCTGTCCTGGTGAAGCTGCCCACATCAGCCTGCAGGTCGTCCTCACTGACTGGGGGCTTTGAGGGATTCATCACTACTTGTCCTGGGACAGATTAATCAAACAAATTAATTTATACATATCCCAAATCATACACTTGATTGCTATAAGGCTAGTTGTTGATCTTAAGTACGGATACTGATCAATTACATTAAAATATGTTTTTTGTATGTACATATCATAATTCATAAGCCATGAATAAAAACATATGTAGTGTCAGATGTATTGTACTGTACCATCAACCACATATCCAGGAATGTAAAGTGCTCCACTGTGTCTCCTGGGGGAGAATCTGGCTGTGCCGTCATCGTTCTGTACTTTCACTTTCAAGCTGTATTTTCCTGTTGTTAGATTAGTGAAGTAACTGGAATAGATGCTGTCATGTCTGAAAGCGTCAGAACCTGAAAAGTAATCATGGGGATGAGAATGGGTCGTCTATGTGTGTCAGTTTCACATATTTATAGCAGGATAATCAGACTGAATGTGTCTCAGATAATGATCATAGTGTTTGGGAGGTTTTTACTCTGAGCTCCATTGTGGCTCTACCTCACCTGCTCCGTTATCCAGCAGTTGAACCTTATATTGGATTTTAGAGTCAGAGTTTTCCAACGTAGCCATCACATCTGCCAGAATTACAGGAACTCCTCTCTGCCTAACCTCTGCAAACACCAGCATGGGTTTGCTGCCATCGCTGGACAGCTGGCTCATGTGGGCTTTGACCGTGACCGGAGGTATATCTTCACTGGCAGCACAACTTGTCACAGTCACTGACATAGACTGGTCGGTTGATTGTTTACTATTAAGGCTGTACTTCCACATTCCACTCTACAATTATAGATTATATAATATTGTGAACATGCAATCATATTAGAAAATGCTATGGGCCACATAACTATTTCAATGGCTAAATTGTCATTGTGTTGTAGTAAATGGAAAAAGGTGCACACAATTTGTAACAGAATGTGTATTTGGTTGAATATCTAAAATCTAGAAAACCAGACCCACCTCAGCAGTTCCTGGAATATCCAGCGTGAAAGTGTCAATAGAAGCATTATGTTGGAAATGTGTTGCATCAAAGACTCCTGAAGAGGGGCTATAAACAATGATGTCAGGTGGAGTAGAAGCATATATGACTGGTGGTTGACTCAGTTGTGTGAGTTGGAATGAATATGATCTGCCAGCTATATGTCCTTAGCTGGCAATAAACAGATAATCTACTATGTAAATCAGATGCCCTTATCACATGTCCAGTGTTGTTTTCGAGAAGCCACAAGTGCTGATTCACCTAGAACTGTATAAATAAGATGTCAGAGAATATGATACGCCATTTATAGTTACACTTTTGATCAGATATTTATTTGTCTATTTCATCTTCAGAAGATGGTTGTCTTCTAGCCTACCCATGATGTGTCTGACACACCAATATGCTGGGTTTACTGTTTTTTAACAAATCAGTTCTGGGAAATGGCAATGCTAACATTAGGTTTAAATTATGTAAAGACAAAGAATGGCAAGAATCAGCAGGTATAGGCCTACACACCTCCAGGGTCTGGTTGGACAACCAGATACTGTCTGTCCAAAGATCCTTACAGTTACACAGAGACTTTTCAATATGGGCGTTCTAATGTCCGAAGTCCAGGTAAAATGTATATCTACAATGCTTTGACTGGTACCTACGAAAATAGTCGTAACCCTGGTGCTTGGTACTCGCACTGTCCCCTTTACTCCAGGCCGGGAGGGCCTTCCTCTCCTGCTCCATGGCTGAGTGACTCATTGCGAGCTTACAGAACAGGGCTGCGGGCAGCTAAGCAAAAATGGAGGAAAACTAAACTTCCAGAGGACCTATCACCCTTTCACTCCTTCCTCTCTACCTTCTCTTCCTCTGTATCCACTGCTAAAGCCACTTTCTAGCACTCTACAGTTCTACAGTTCTACACACAGTTCAAGCTTCTGCCTCTAACCCTAGGAAACTCTTTTCCACCTTCTCCTCCCTCCCTCCTTAATCCTCCATCTCCTCCCTCCTCCCTCTCTGCGGACGATTTTGTCAACCACTTTGAAAAGAAGGTTGATGACATCCGTTCCTCATTCATTAAGCCTATTGAGTCCACTGGTCCCACTCACACATAACTACCCTACGCCTTGACCTCTTTCTCCCCTCACTCTCCAGATTAAATCCCTGTGACTAATGTGGTCCGGCCGACTGACAACCTGCCCCCTCGACCCCATGCCCTCTTCCCTTCTCCAGACCATCTCTGCAGACCTTCTCCCATTCCTCACTTCCTTCATCAATCTCTGACTTCGAAATGGCCAGAGTCGCTCCCCTCCTCAAGAAACCATACCACTCTGATGTCAAAAACTACAGACCGATATCCCTTCTTTCTTTTCTTTCCAAAACACTTAAGCGTGCTGTCTCTGACCAACTATCTCGCTATCCTTCTCAGAACAATCTTCTTTATCCTAACCAGTCAGGCTTCAAGATGGGTCACTCAACCAAGACTGCTCTCTGTGTCACGGAGACTCCCTGCACTGTCAAAGCTGACTCTCTCCCCACTGTTCTCATCCTCACAGATCTATCCGCTGCCTTCAACACCGTGTCCCATCAGATCCTCCTCTCCACCCTCTCAGGGCTGGGCGTCTCGGGCTCTGAACACTCTTGACAAGTGTTGCTATTCTTCCCTGGGAAGATTTTTAGCGCTGGAGAGGTTCCAACAAACTTGATGCACCATAGTGAACGTCTGTCAGGAGCTCTAACGGGGCAGCCCCGTAAGTTCCCTTATATACTGACAAGTTATATTTGCATGATTTAGCTTATTCATCATTCATAATTAATGTTTGCTTCATGCATGTGACAGACCAATACCTCACAAGGCTTCTTCTCTCTAAGCTGAGACCTTGAAATTGAGATATCCCTTTCTCTAAACAAGGTTCTGGACGTTATTAGAAAAGCCCAAACAGAACACAGAAATAGGTTATAAGGAAAGCACAAACAGAACACAGAAATTGGTTATTAGAAAAGCACAAACAGACCACAGAAATTGGTAATTAGAAAAGCACAAACAGAACACAGAAATTGGTTTATAGAAAAGCACAAACAGAACACAGAATTGGTTATTAGAAAATCACAAACAGAACACAGAAATTGGTTATTAGAAAATCACAAACATAAAAATGTCCATCACACTGCGTATCAGGTACATCACAATTTGGTGAGGTTGTATTAAGGGGGCAATCTGGGATTCTAAAACAACAAGCGCCAAAACGCCACATGTTTTGGTAAACAGCTGAGGGATGGGGCTAGATAAATGTAACCAATCTCAAATTCATAGACATACCTATGAATGCAAGGACTGACAATCCATGAGATCAAAATTATAGTTTTAACCATGCTTTGAAGTTATAGGCCTACAGTGTTTGTTTACCGTTACATTATTAACAGACAATGGAATAAAACAAGTTCATATTTTGGGTTATAATGAGTTATAGGGCCCTATAAACTCCATGATGCGGAGAACACGAACGGAATCATTGTCTCCAGACCTTAAAATGGAATTCAACAATGTTAATAAAAAATGTATTGAACTTACTAGGAAATCAACTAAATGTATTGAACTTACTACAAAAATAATTAATTTGCCCAAGTTTTCATAAGACAAACAGAATGCACTAGTGATTTGTATTTCCTGCAACTTTCTGAAGCAGCAGTGGCACGGGAATGCCCCTGTCTGTGTGTGTGCACTGTGCACATCTACCTCTTTGTGTAGCCATTAGCAATGATGCTAATGATAACCGTCTTCTGGTAGATGGAAAGGCTTTCTCAAAAACCTAATCAATTAAATGTTAACTACAAAGTACAGTGCATTCGGAAAGTATTCACAGCACTTTTCTCATCAATCTACACACAATACCCCATAATGACAAAGCGAAAACAGGTATTAAAAATAAAAAACGGAAATACCTTATTTACATAAGTATTCAGACCCTTTGCTATGAGACTCGAAATTGAGCTCAGGTGCATCCTGTTTCCAATGATCATCCTTGAAATGTTTCTACAACTTGATTGGAGTCCACCTGTGGTAAATTCAATTGATTGGACATGATTTGGAAAGGCACACACCTGTCTATATAAGGTCCCACAGTTGACAGTGCATGTCAGAGCAAAAACCAAGCCATGAGGTCGAAGGAATTGTCCGTAGAGCGCCGAGACAGGATTGTGTCGAGGCACAGATCTGGGGAAGGGTACAGTTTTTTTTTTTCTGCAGCATTGAAGGTCCCCAAGAACACAGTGGCCTCCATCATTCTTAAATGGAAGAAGTTGGAACCACCAATACACTTCCTAGAGCTGGCCACCTGGCCAAACTCAGCAATTGGGGGAGAAGAGCCTTGGTCAGGGAGGTGACCAAGAACCCGATGATCACTCTGACAGAGCTCCAGAGTTCCTCTGTGGAGATGGCAGAACCTTCCAGAAGGACAACCATCTCTGCAGCACTTCACCAATCAGGCCTTTGTGGTAGAGTGGCCAGACGGAAGCCACTCCTCAGTAAAAGGCACATGACAGCCCGCTTGGAGTTTGCCAAAAGGCACCTAAAGGAATCTCAGACCATGAGAAACAAAATTCTCTGGTCTGATGAAACCAAGATTGAACTCTTTGGCCTGAATGCCAAGCGTCACATCTGGAGGAAACCTGGCACCATCCCTACAGTGAAGAATGGTGGTGACAGCATCATGCTGTTGGGATGTTTTTCAGTTGCAGGGACTGGGAGACTGGTCAGGATCGAGGGAAAGATGAACGAAGCAAAGTACAGAGAGATCCTTGATGAAAACCTGCTCCAGAGCGCTCAGGACCTCAGACTGGGGCGAAGGTTAACCTTCCAACAGGCCAACGACCCTAAGCACACAGCCAAGACAACGCAGGAGTAGCTTCGGGACAAGTCTCTGAATGTCCTTCAGTGGCCCAGCCAGAGCCCGGACTTGAATCCGATTGAACATCTCTGTAGAGACCTGAAAATAGCTTTGCAGCAATGCTCCCCATCCAACCTGACAGAGCTTGAGAGGATCTGCAGAGAAGAACGGGAGAAACTCCCCAAATACAGGTGTGCCAAGCTTGTAGCGTCATACCTAAGAAGACTCGATGCTGTAATTGCTGCCAAAGGTGCTTCAACAAAGTACTGAGTAAAGGGTCTGAATACTTATGTAAATGTGATATTTACGTTTTTTATTTTTAAGACATTAGCAACATTTCCTAAAAAATTGTTTTTGCTTTGTCATTATGGGGTATTGTGTGTAGATTGATGAGAGAAAACAACAATTTAATACATTTTAGAATAAGGCTGTAACGTAACAAAATGTGGAAAAAGTCAAGGGGTATGAATACTTTTCGAATGCACTGTAGCCTCTATGCCTACCTGGCAGAATGATATCCTGATTATTTGCATCAATCCAGTGTGCTTTTTTTTGTTGCAAACTCTGTATCATCAAAACAACAGTCTCTTGCTATGTGCATGCACACTTGAATTAAAGGTTAACTACACTCCAAAATAAAAATGACTTAGATTTTTCCCAGACCTCAAAAGTGGTCTCCTGATGTGGTTTAAACAATTGTTTTGGAATTAGAAAATCCAATGTTATTGTTTTTCTATACAATCTGAAACCTGGAAAAACAACACCTAGAACAGAATTTTGGAAGAAAAAAACTAAATGGAAATATAGCAGTGAGCAGCAATGAACGGGGTTCACATGATGACAGAAAGGACACAAGATCAGTTGGACAAACCAAGCACTCTATCATGTAGGAACAATCGTCCATTATGCGCAATCATGAGTCTAAATACATCTTGAGTGAATCTGACATATAGTTCAATAGTTGATTTTGAGCATTAGCGTTACATATGCAAAGAATGAGTTGTTAATAGTTTCCTTGTTTTTTGAGATATCTATACCACATTCAGTGTGGTTCATCTGAGGGACGTCCGTGATGACAAGTTTCAAGTTGATTGGCCACTGTGGAGTGGATTTGCAGGGGTTTAAATGGACAGATAAAATCAGATTTTTGATTTGTCAATAACTAATTTTTGACCAATCCCTT